TTCTTCACTCCATAAGATGCAGACTTTCCACCCCCCTGTTTTGTGGGGGAAAATTGCGTCTTACGGTGCGAAAAATATGGTAATTTATGATTCTATATTTCTATATACATCAGAAGAGTATAATAAGATTCTTATGCCACAGAAGTTGCATGGAGTAAGGGAGATCATCCTTGTTTTGCTTTGCTTCTAAATTTTGCAAAACTAACAATGAAGGCATTAAAGCTGTGAAAAATTCAAAGGTGGACCAAAGCACATTTGACTGAGTTTCCTCCATTCCCATTGGGCATTTTATCCACCATTTTGTTCCAGCGAAATCTGGTAAGCATGGCTCTATCTAACAGGGAGACAACCGTATAAGGTCTGCCTGCCAGATAGGCATTAAACAGAAGTAGCTTCTCTTTGAAGAAGAGAAAAAAAGGTAACAACCTAGTTCTTTACTAGCCTGAATGAATAAGCATGGACTTAAAAGCTAGGCTTGTAAGAGATAAGCACTTAAAGCGTCATGCCTCAATAGCTGAAGCTGTCCCTGCCAGTTCAATTTTTGCTAACCAAAAAAGGCCCAAGTTATTTCCATTCTGAATGTGAAGCTTATTGCAAATGTAGGTAATGGGTGGGAATTTAGAAATGACCTTAAGCAAAATTCTCACTCTCCGTTAGCTGGTCCATTCATAGGGTAAGATAAAGCCGAGCTAGGAAACATCCTGATTCCGGTGTGGTGCGGTGGATAGAGTAATGGACCGGGACTCTGAAGAGCAGGGTTCAAATCCCTGCTGAGTCAGGTAATGAAAACTCGCTGGGGGAGCGGAACTGGTAAAACCACTCCTGAAATATCTCAGTTACTTTGAAAAGCCCTAACAGAGTCACTATAAGTAGGTTCCGACTTGATGAAATACAGAACACTGCTCTCTTTTTTTCCCTCTGAAATCAAGGAAGTGGGATAAATTTGCCGGGGGGCTGAAAGACTAGGATAGGAGGCGAACCACGGGTGGTGGGATCGTACGGGTGAAGAGATGAGGAGCCAAAGAGGAAGCAAAACTGGGAGCCAACTGGAAAATAGGGCTCATCCTGGGCTTTCCTCTTGCCACATTCCTCTTTGCCCGTCATTCCACTCCTACTGAATTCTGGCTTTAATTGTGAAAATTAACATCGTGATTGTGTTAGAAACACACACATGCCATGGGGGGTGGGGGAGAGAAAAAAAAACATCTTGATGTAATCCAGATGATTGCCTCGAGATGGTGTTACATAAAAGACTGCAAGACAGCCTGGCATGCTGTTTGACAGAGCCCAAATGCCGGGATAAAAGAATCAAGATACAACCGATTATTGGGCAACTTTTAACATGGCTTTAAAAAGAAAAGTTTAGCAGTTTATCCTTCCTTGGAGGCGGCAGGCAAACAGTTTTTTAAGAAACAAATGGGAGAAACTGAAAGCCCTGGGACACTATGAAAATTTACTGTTATGGACTACGACTTCCAGAATACCACAAAATAGTCTTATGTAAGTGCGTAGGGACATGGCGGGGCTGCGGGTTAAACCGCAGAAGCCTCTGTGGTGCAAGGTCAGAAGACCAGCCGTCATAAGATTGAATCCATGTGGCGGAGTGAGCTCCCTTTGCATGTCTCAGCTCCTGCCAACCTAGCAGTTCGAAAGCATGTAAAAATTTGAATAGATAAATAGGTACCACCACAGTGGGAAGGTGTTCCATGTCTAGTCGCGTTGGTCACATGACCACGGAAACGGTCTATGGACAAACGCTGGTGCTACGGCTTGGAGGTGGGGATGAGCACCGCCCTCTAGAGTCAGACACAACTGGACTAAATGTCAAGGGGAACTACTACTAATATGTGGAATTCTAATATGAATATAATTGCTAAGAATCCTTAGCCGCAACACAACATACAATTCCTGTGGCGTCCAGTTTTCACTCATTAAAGCTGATTTCAGGGTGCACGCAACTCACATGCAATGGGACGAAGGGGCATGAACTCCAAAATCTCGAAAAGATGCCTGTTGCACGACAAACGGAAACCAGTCCTCCTTCCGGATACCTTCTTTCGAAGGAGCACAGGCCTGATCCACCAAACTCTGAGTAGACCTGTTCTACCAGAGGTCCCATCTGCCTCCGTCTTACGACAATTAGATATAGATGCCTGGCCCGTCCCAGAAGTAGGGAAGTTTTGGTGGCCAGGGGCAAGGCCCCAATGACCCTCGTTGGTTCAAAAATAATGTGATGGTCTCAACATTTTAATTGGCTTTTGATTTTGCCCGTCTTTCCTCTGTGCGGGTGGATTTGAGTGGTGCGGTGCTCTGAAATGAATAAAAAGTAAAAGGAAGACAACCCCTGACTTTCTACAAAGTTCAGACAGGACTTTTTTCTAACCCTGCCTGCACAGGCTGGGGAATGATCTGGGGACGGCCTGCATCCGAAGCCTGTACTGAGCTACGGACCTCCCTACACAACTCAGACGAAACGGGTTGCGGAGAGTCCACGGCGACTGGTGGCTCCACTGTCAGGGGGGGAATTATTCCACTCCAGGTTTTGGAAATGCATGACAGCTTCCCCAAGCACTCACCCTTCTGTCCCAAAGAGGTTCAGCATTATGGGTAGTTCCTTCCAAGTACCCTACGACTTCACCATCCATCCCGCTGCTGTTGGAGGTACCAGCCTCCATGGGCTGAATTTCACTGGCACCTGTCTGTTTATTTCCTTACACTTCTATTGCATGCAACTCGAGTTGCCTTTCATCATATACTAGTTTTTGCATCCCAGAGGGAGCTGGGTGCTACCTTGAAAACAGGGTGCGTCCCATCAAAACCTTTGCCTTTCACCCAGTTTCTCATTAGCCGCTTGTCCTTAAGCCAAGGATGCTCAGGAACAGCCAGGAAGCCGCCGAGGTTGAGCATCAACAAGATTACCCTACTGATTAGTTGGCTTTTTATCTTAATAGCTCAACAACCTTGATGAATACGTGTTGTGACACCAACATTTTCCACAAGAGCAGACTGGATGTCCCGAATAAATCAAAGTTATTGGGGCAGCTACGTGGCCAAGATTACTGCTGAATAGTTCAGTGGTTGACGCCTCTGACTATGGAGGCAGAGGTTGGGAGTTTGATTCCTCACTGGGCCTCCTTGACAGGGACTGGACTTGATGATCTATAGGATCCCTTCCTGCTCTGCAGTTTTAAGATGGTGATGCTTCTGCATGTCCCCTCTCTTCTCTTCCTTCCCTCACAGTGTCTCTCAGGCACACACAGCCCTTGCGACTCTGGCAGAACAGAAATAGCTCTCTGTGGTACCCTGATCCTGAAGGGGAGCGGTACCTCACTTGACCTAATGGACCTCCTTCCTGCTCTTTCCTCTGCTAGAAGAGCCATTGGGGAGAGGAACCGACACTAAGACCATTGTGGAATGGAGAACGTGTGGCTCTCAAGATATGGTTAGGCTACAACTCCCATCAGCACTGGAAGCCAGCAGACCCATTGCTGAGGGATGATGGGAATGGGAGCCCAACTACCTCTGGGGGGCCCTGTTTATCGCAGATTTGCTCCATTCGAAGGGTCACCCAGTTACTCTTGAGGGCAGACCTGGTGCTGTTGCGTTGGCCACCCACACTTACTTCCTGGACTGTTGGCAGGTCATCTTGTCACAGTCTTCCCCACAACTGTGCATCACATTCCATTTCTGTCTAAATTGTATGGCTGAAACTCAGTAGTAAGACACAACTAGAGCCAGCCCATTGAGTCAATGCGACCTGCAGAGGTGCTGACTTGCTGAATCCCCCCTGATTCAGTGCACCTACTCTAATAGCAACTTACTACTGGATTTTCTCCTGTCAACCTAGCAGTTCGAAAGCATGTAATAACTGTGAGTAGATAAATAGGTACCACCTCGGTGGGAAGGTCACAGCGTTCCGTGTCTAGTCGCGCTGGCCACGTGACCACGGAAACTGTCTTTGGACAAACGGTGGCTCTAGGGTTTGGAAACGGAAATGAGCATCGCGCCCTAGAGACGGACACGACTGGACTAAATGTCAAGGGGAACCTTTACCTTTACATTACTGGATTTCAGCCCTTATGTCTAAAATTAGAACTTCGTGTACAGAATGAATATAGGAAAATCTGATGTACTTCTGCATTTTCTTTTGAGAAAAATATGCAACCTGCCAGTCCTTGATTTTGTAACTTATCCATTCCAGAAAATGGAGGTCCTCCAAGATTCAGTTTCAGGCCACCTCCAGCCAGCACAGCCCAACTTGCCTTCCTACTAAAGATGGAGGGTCAGGACCCCCCAACCCCACATTCTCCTGCAGTGGATGCTTCTGTAAGGGCACACACACATGTGAACGAGTAAAGTCTACCCTTCCCCACTGTATTGTTTCTAACCATCTTCTTTGTCGATTTTAATGGTTCAAACATATATACTTGATTCTACTGGCATTCTGGTGGGCTTGCTTTACATGACTGAATGATGTTATTTACTTTAGCAAAGTGTGGTTTTGTCTGTTCTTATTCTTTTAAGGTATTTGTCAGCTGCCTTGAGCACTCTCTTCGAAGGGAAAAACAGAGCATCAATGCAATAAAATAATTAAATTGTTGTTAGGTGCCACCAAGTCACCTCCAACTTATGGCAACCCTACAGATGACCAATCTCCAGAACTGCCCTGCTCAGCTCTTGTAAACTCAGCGCTGTGGCTTCCTATAGGGGAAATCATTCTGTCTCGTATTTAGTCTTTCTAGTAGTCCAGGGTATCTGCAAAGCTTTCCTCCAGCAGTATATTTCAAAGGAATCAAAATAAATAAATAAATGCCCATAATTTTTTGCCCCAACGCTGCTTGTTCCTCTCCGTTCTGCCCCAGTGGTCAGCTGTGTCCTCAGCTCCATCAACTATAATGGGCAGGAGCCACCACTGAACGCAGTTACATGTCTTGGCTTGATAAACCGTAGGGATGATTCTCATTTGCTATATTTCTTTCCCTCCATCTCTTTCTTCCCAGGCTGAAGTGAGCGGCCCCTCCAAGAGACTGCGGCCGCCATGGACTGGAAGACCTTACAAGGCCTCCTGAGTGGGGTGAACAAATACTCCACAGCTTTCGGGCGCATCTGGCTCTCCGTGGTCTTCGTCTTCCGCGTCCTGGTTTACGTGGTGGCGGCCGAACGAGTGTGGGGGGACGAGCAAAAGGACTTTGACTGCAACCACCGCCAGCCCGGGTGCACCAACGTCTGCTATGACCACTTCTTCCCCATCTCCCACATCCGCCTGTGGGCTCTGCAGCTCATTTTCGTCACGTGCCCTTCGCTTCTGGTCATCATGCATGTGGCTTATCGGGAGGACCGGGAGAGGAAAAATCGGGAAAAGAACGGGGAGAACTGCCCCAAGCTGTACAGCAACACAGGCAAGAAACACGGGGGCCTTTGGTGGACTTACCTTCTCACCCTCTTCTTCAAGCTGGGCATCGAGATTGTCTTCCTCTACCTCCTGCACCGGATATGGGACAGTTTCGACCTGCCTCGCCTTGTCAAGTGCGACTTGCACCCTTGCCCCAACACGGTGGACTGCTACATCGCCCGTCCGACGGAGAAGAAGATTTTCACCTATTTCATGGTAGGGGCGTCCGCCTTGTGCATTGTCCTCACTGTGTGCGAGATCTTCTACCTGATCTTCAAGAGGGTGGTCCGCTCGGTCCAGAAGATGAAGAAGAACAAGAAGTCCCTCACCTACAGCAAAGCGTCTACCTGCCCTTGCCACTCGAGAATAGAGCATGATGGGAAGTTGAAGAACTCCACCGTGGACGCCCTCCGAGCCTCTGCCCCTAACCTCACCTTAATCTGAGCTGGGTGAGGTAAGGAGGGTCTGTCCAAAAAGGTCAACGACATGCTTGGATTATTTCATTGGGACGTGGATGTTTTTGGAACAGGAAACGGGGAAAGGATGGCATGAAAGGGGTGAAGTTCCGCCTTTGAGTTGCCAACAAGGGGGAGCCCTGCCACGTTTGTCAGGAAGCGCCGCCATGCTTGTTGAGGCCTGAAGGCAAGACCATGGCCTCACCGTCTGTTTACATGTTATGGCTCCACGGAACAGGCATGGTTTGCATGTTCCAGCAGAAGAATGGCTGGCCCACCACCAAAGAAAGCTGAACCCCTTTAAAATCCTAACGGCCATGCTTTCCCTTTTTAATTTTTTTTAAAAAAACAATCTCAGAAAATACAACATGATTCATTCTAGGCAGTCAACTATGAGAGTTTGCTCTGTTTTTGCATATATTGAGGTCGTTGGAAGACCCATTGGAGCCAATAACCTATAGCTTTGAAGGGGGGGGATTGACATTCATTCATTTTCTTAGAGGGTGTGGCAAAATCCTTCCCCTGGAGGTGGGGGGAGGTTGAGTAAGGAAGTTCAACAAGTGTGCCTCATGAAGTCCAACCTCTTCGTGAAGGCTGCCATTTTCTCAAGGGACAAAACATCTCTTGTTTCCACCCAAAAAAAAAAGCAGCCACATGGATCAAACAGAGCTTCTATATGTATTTTTTTTTTAAAGAGGGGAATATTTTGCACAATTTGTAGCCCTGCTCAGATGAAGGAATCAGCTTTATACATCTCTCCAGAGAAGCTGCTCAAGTGCCTTCTTGTTCTACTGTTTACACATTCCTTTTACACCAGACAATGTACTCAAGAAAGGACATGTTGTTGAGAAAGGTCAAACGAGAGCATCACCATAGTATTCTTCCCTCCAAATTCCACACAGTCAGTTGTTCTCTCCAACTTCCTGTTGACAGACAGAGGGACCCTCGGACAGAGCTGGCCTTTCCAGGACGGCGTTTAGACTTCCCACCGAAATCAAACCTAGCTAAATATGAGATTTGAAGGTTCCTCCTCAACTGAGGAGGCTTTTCATTCATGTCCTTAGAAGGGTTTCTAAGGACCCTGTAAAACCCTTCAAAGGACGTGGATTAAAAGTCGAAAGGTTCCTCGGCTGGTGGAGGGAGGGGCACGCCAACAACCAGAGGGGGAAACCCAAAGCGAAATCCTCAATTTGCTTTTGGTTGTTGAGTTGTGAGTTCTCTCCTAGGAAAGAACTTCGCTTCTAAGTGAAGTTGCAGGAACCCTGAAGGAATTTTGAAGGAAACTGAGGTGTCCAGACGATGGGAGAAATATCTCAGGTTGCTAGCGTGCATCCTCAGAAAAGACACACAAAGAGGGGGCTTGAAAAATTGGAATTAAAGCTAGAGATTCAAATCTTCTTGGGCCCCACAAAGAACAACGTGAGTTTCCACTCCTGGTATTTGAAGGTTTCTAGCCTCAAACCCTTTAGAAAGTTTGTACATCCACCTGAGTCCTTCTTTCCTGAGTCCTTCTTTCGCTCAGGCACAGTGGCAGCTCAATAGAGTTGATATGTAGGCCTGTTATTCTTTTGTCCAACATCCTTTTGCTTTTTAAAATTGTTTCGATGGGCATATTTGGCAACCAAACACAAAGGCAGCCCTGAATAATGAGCATCTGTTCTTCAAAGGATTTGGTTTGAAAGGAAGCTCAAGCTTCTCTGTGGAGAGGTAAAAAAAAAATAACAAGTGTGCATGTAGAAAGAGGGTTCAGCAAATGTGTGTAACAAAAGAGAGGTAGGATACAGATGCTTGTGGGAAAAGCAAGCAAGAGCAGCCTTTAGAGGCCCAGGAGAGAAGATGGGAGAGAAGACTCCGGAAGAAACAATGAGTCAGTTGAGTTGATCTGCTTAACATGTATTTAGAGGCAGTGCTCCTATCAGTGGTGGAAGATGTCTGTTTGTCAAAGGGTATAATTTTCTTCACTTCATGGTACCAACCCTACTTGACTTTGTGGCAAGTCACTGTCAGATGACAAAGGCTTAATTTGCAAGTCTGATTGCTCAGGCACATGTCATTGAAGAAATGCAGTTGCTGGAAGAGATATGGGTTAATTGGATAAAATAATGATTTTTTTTAGGTCAGACAACATTATAGATAGGCATAGAAAGTACAGGAAGACTAGTGAGTTGAAATTTTCAGAAAGGCAGGGAGATTCATTATCCACTTGTTTCAGGCTTGGTTTGCCAGCGGTTTACTTAAACTTTTTCTCAGTCACAAATGTTTTCTATTGTCTTTGATGCTGAGGAATCCATATACAGTATCTACAAGACCAGTATCCACTGATTAAAAGAAAAGTCTAAAAATATTAAAAGAAAAATCCTTGAAATATATATTTCTAAAGATGAAGTGACCAGAACTGGCCACTCGAGGGAGCCAGAGACCATACTATATTTCACTGGAGAAATATTTTTCTATGTTGTCATTTTAAGAATTGGCCACTAGAAGGTGCCAGAGACCATGTACATAGTGTTTGCTATAGTCTGCATTGTTCAGCATCCTTGGGAGGAGGGCTTGGAACGGATGCCCCACAGAGCAGGGCATCCTTCTGTACCTCCGCCATCCCCACATTACAAAAGATTGGGGATGATATTTGCTGGGCAAAGCACCATCTATTTTTGTTTGTAAGGATAACATACGTTGCCACCATCCAGCCTATCCTGATCTCTCCAAACTGAACTGCAAGGTTTCCAGAAAGCTGCCGCAGGGTGAGAGCATGTCGTTTTTTTTCCAAGCGCCCACATGTTGTTGTGAGCTCTCCCTATGATTGCACCACATCTTGGGGAGCAGCTTGCTCTTGGGTAGGTGATTAAGACTCGTGATCTTTCCCAAAGGCTTGGAAACATTGCCGGAACCAGTTGGGTGACACGGATTGACGACGCCATCTGCATTTCTGGAGTCTTCTTGCAGGGAAGCCTGGGGGAACTGCACGGTCTGTACTTAAGGATTTAACACAGGTATCGACACGCTTTCCAGGGCCTTAGCTGAGTTCCGTGAGGAAATCCGATCAGTGTCTCCTTTTGTCGAAGCTTAGCTATTGCTGCCACTTTTCTCGTGAAGGACTTCCTGGAAACTCCAAGAGTCTATCGCACATTATTTGAAAACCACTGCTGTGATGGTCTGAATGCGCAGAGATCTGAGTTCAAGTCTCCAGCTGGCCATGAATCTCCCTCCTGGGAAAGTCACTCCCTTTCTCTCTCCCTAGCCAACCTCGCCTGCTTTTTCTTTTTCATTGGGATAAAACGGGATAAGAACTCTAGTGGTGTAGTTTTTAGAGTGGTGGGCTTGGCTCTGGATTCAGGTTCCCATTCAATCCTAAATCCTACCTGGTTGGCCCTCAGGCCAACCTGCCTTGGGATACTGTGGGAAGGGAGGAGAGTGCCTTCAGATTAATTGGGGGTTGGGGGGAACTGAAGGTGTTCATGCTATCATAAATGGTGGCTCGAGTGGGGGGCAGGGAGAAAGCTCACCTCAGAAAAGAGGCACAATTGTTATGGACAACATCTTGGCTGAACGATGTGGAGACACACGTGACCGCATCAATAAGAGAGGACAGGAAGGAAATCAAAATCACGAAGGATCAAAATCATCGTCACCCCTCTTGCAACTGCAAAGGTGGAAAGGATCCTATGGGTCAAGGAGCCAGAGCTTGGGAGCTGATCTCTCGAGAAGCTGCCTGATAAGAGTCAAACCCTAAGTCCATATGGAATAGTTTTATCTATTCCTAGCAGCAGAAATCCAGGGATTCAGGCTGGATTCCTTCCTAATCTTACCCAGAGATCCCTGGTGGTCTCCCATCTAAACACTAACCAAGCACAACTCTGTCTATCTTCCAAAATCAGAAAAGAATGTGTATGGATAGGAGAAAAAATGTTCAGGTATCTTTCTGAGGTAGCTTTAAGCAGCAGATCAGTCTCCTTCTTTCCTTCTTTCCTTCCTTCCACCTATCCATCAACCCCTTCCTTCCTTCCTTCCTTCATGAATTTGTATGGATAGGAGAAAAATGTTCAGGTATCTTTCTCAGGTAGCTTTAAGGACCAGATCAGACTCCTTCCTTCCTTCCTTCCTTCCTTCCTTCCTTCCTTCCTTCCTTCCTTCCTTCCTTCCTTCTATCCATCAACTCCTTCCTTCCTTCTTTCCTTCCTTCCTTCCACCTCCATCTCTTTCATCGTGTTCCTTGTTTCCAAAGGAATGTGTTTACAAGCTACACGGCATCCACGCCACAGACGGATTTGGGCGTTGGGCCAGGCCTGCAGCTCCTGGAAAAAAACAAAACAAAAGTCAACCTTTTGCTTATCCATGTGGCATAATTGACGAACTTCAGCAGTATTTCTCAAGACTCCTTCTCGGTGCCCTGAGCAAAGACCTATCGGTTCCTCAATCGCTGAACAAATATTATGTTTGTGTAGCGAAGTGTGTAATGCAGAAGGTCAAATAAAATGTTGCTTTGTTTATATGAATGTCCGCCAGGTCCTTTGTTTGTGGCGATAAGTTCCTGCGAAGTGGGAGAGGAGAGAGTTTGTTAGCAAATGTAACAAATATATAAAGTGGATAACCCAGAAAACAGGATGTAGGTGTCCGAAGCATAATAATATGGATTAAGGAACTTGGGGGGGAAAAGTTTTGGTCATGAGAAATAACAGCCTGCCTGAATCTGGTGGCTTCCAGTTGCATTTGGCAACAACTCCCATCATCCTGAGCACCATGCTCTCTGAGTATTTGTAGCTCAACACATTTGCAAGACTTCAGGTTGGAAAAGGCTGAGGGGAGACACATGTTATAGATTATTCCATGTTATAGATAATCCATCCTCACAAGAGAAAAATCCTTAGCTGCTGAAAGCATCTGCATACAGTATGAAGGAAGAACTTTTCTCCCCTCACATTATTTACAGTCTGACTGAGTGTTTTCTCCCCAACATGTGTCCTTTCAAGCCCTAATCACAAGCTATCTTTCTACCAGGCCTCATTCTGTCCTGAGATTTGCCATTTAGAAAAATAAATGTCTGCACATTGCAGAAAGTGGCATTTGGAAAGCAGAGCAATTTCCTTCCCTTTCTCTGATTTCTTCCCTTTTGTTGTCCATCCTTTCTCTCCCCCTTTCAGAAGCAGAGAAAGGGTAAGACTAGGATGCTTTTTTTAAAAAGTAACATAATTGATAAAGAAAAAGAAAACAAAAGTTTCAGGCTGTAAAGGAAATTGTTGTGGAGCTGAATTCCATGCCTGGAACAAGAAGGTACGAAAAACAAACAAACAAACCACGGGGTTGGGATGGAGAAAAAAAAGTTTGGGAAACCAGGAAAAAGAGATTACACGGCATGAGGGTTGAAACTGAAAACCATGAAGCCCTGAGTTCAAATCTTACATATTTTCCACTTGGCTTTCAAGCCACTGTCAGTGTTGAGGACCTCAACCAAACCTCTAGGAAGGAAGGAAGGAAGGAAGGAAGGAAGGAAGGAAGGAAGGAAGGAAGGAAGCTGATGAGGGACAGAAGCATAGAAGGAAGGGAGGGAGGGAGGG